GGCGGAACAACATTTTCAGAACTGTATTTTGAGGGACTCTATAAGGGACGTACCAATACAATGACCGCTTACGCACATGTGAGTTTTGTCACCACATACTTCCGGTTAAAGAATAATATTTTGTAAACAGTATAATGTTAAATATTTAAAAACACAACTCGTTTTAAGATAAACACTCGTTGAAGCTCTTCCCGAGACATGAAAATTAACATTTAATTCTAAAGCTATCGGGTTACGCCTCACAAATATTCTGAACTAACGGCATGTTTTAAGTTAAACATATTCAATAACTCGTATTTTTCCTAATATCCTTATGCTAAGACTGTTATCGGTCAACTTTAGAGGGCTTACAGAGCACAAGACACTCTTAGGTCTTAATTTCAGTACATCATCTGTCATGGCCAAAAGCAAATTTGAATACGTGAGAAACTTTGAGCTCGACGACACATGTTTGAGAAACTGTTACATTGTGGTTCGGCTAGATGGACGCAACTTCCACAAGTAAGTGCTTCTGTGCAGTTACAACATGCTATTGCAGTCTTGTGTTTGTACAATTTCGTGGAGGGTAGAAAATGAGTGATGACTGAAGTGATTTTCAGAGTGATCTTTTTGGTTCCAGGTTTTCTGAGCAGCATAACTTCATGAAGCCCAGTGATAACCGAGCTCTGGGTTTGATGAGTCGCAGTGCCCGTTCAGTCATGGAAGAGCTGGAGGACATAACTATAGCCTATGGACAGAGTGATGAGTTCAGCTTTGTGTTCAAAAGATCAAGCACTTGGTTCAAAAGAAGGGCCAGGTACAATGCTGACACATTGCCAGAATCTGCTTAAGTTACCATCTTGATGCCAAACACCACAGCTGGAAGATAGTTGTCCAGTGTTATGCTTTCTAGGAAACTCACCCATTAAATATTTTCCTTTCTCTCTACAGTAAACTAATGACCCATGTGACATCCCAGTTTTCCTCTAGCTTCGTTTACTACTGGAAGGAGTATTTTGGGGAGCAGCCGCTGCTGTACCCTCCCAGCTTTGATGGCAGGGTGGTTCTGTATCCGAGCAATCGTAACCTAAGAGACTATCTAAGCTGGAGACAGGCAGATTGTAAG